GCCTGTTCTGCTCCCCACTCTGTCTCTGGTGAGTCCTCTCACTGCACCTCTGGCCTGTACCCCAGTTCTGTATGCACAAATAAATCTTTAAAAAAAATACAAAGTCCAATAAACAGATATAACAGTTGTAAATATTTATACACCCAACACAGGAACACACATATATATATAAAGCAAATATTAACAGTTGTAAACAGAGAAACTGACAGCAGTACAATAATAGCAGAGCGCTTTATTACCCCACTTATATCCATAGACAGATCATCTATGTGGGTTCCTGTGAGTTGGCCACTCATGGGTAACAGTGACCTATTTGTTTTCCACAAATCACAGCGCAACATCCCTCAACCACCCACAGAGTATAGCTCCTTATCACGAGGCAGGTCCGGGAACACCTAGACTGCAGCTGACCTGATGACGTGACTGTCTCCATGGGGGTCTCAGATAACTCTGCTGGTGACATCATGCATGTGGTCACAATGGCCTTTCCCTGTCCCTTGTAAAACTTTGTCCCTCATTCCTCTCTCAGGATCCTCATACTATCGTTACATGATCAGCTTTTAATAATCTATATGATTTCAACTTATTGAAATCATACAGGTTATGACTGCTGATCATTCCACGACTGCTGTGTCCCTCACTGTGTTCCCACCGCAACGAGGCAAAAAGTTCCTGTTGCTACAGTCCAGATGGAAAATCAATAAGGAAAAATCAGTCTTCAACAAAACATTAAACCAGATGGGTTTAATACAAAACAATTCACCCAGGAGCATCAGAATAGACATTCTTCTTAAGTGCTCATGGAATATTATCTAGTATAGTACCACATACTAATACACACAAAACAAATTTCAATAAATTTAAGATGATAAAAATCCTATCAAGTATCTTTTCTGACTATAATAGAATAAAATAAGGAATCAGTTATGAAAACTTGGGGGAAAAACACATATATGGAGAAATAAAATAAAATGAAATAAAATAAATAAAATGCTACTAAATAACTGAAAGGTCTATAATGAAATCAAAGTTTAAACAAAATGAGACAAATGTATATGGAAACTTGATATGCCAAAATCTATAGGAAGAAGCAAAATTGGTTCTAAGAGGGACTTCTGAAGCAAAGTAGGCATACCTCAAGAAAAAATCTCAAGCAACAGTGCAAGCTGGTACTATACCCAGAGGAAGGAGGAAAAGAAAAATGAAGCCCAGCGTTGGTAGAGAGAATCAAATAACAAAGATCCAAACAGGAATGAAAGAGTCCAAAAAGACAGTGAAACAAAGGCCTGATTCTTGAAAAGATAAAGTTGACAAGTCTTTACCTAGACTTACCAAGAGAAAAAGAATGAGGACACGGGCCCTCCCTGGTGGCACAACGGGTTAGGACGCAGCACTGCAAGCTGGCTGCAGCCGCTTCAGTGCGAGTTTGATCTGTGCCCTGGAGCTGACCCACATGGCCAGCAGCCCTCTCCTGACCTGCCCGCAGCTCCCCTCAGCAGTGTACTTCGTCCATCTGCCTGTTCTGTTCCCCACTCTGTCTCTGGTAAAGCCTCTCATCATCCCTGCACCTCTGGCTTGTACCCCAGTTCTGTATGCACAAATAAATAAATCTTAAAAAAAAAAATGAGGACACAAGTAAATAAAATCAGAAGTGAAAGAAGAGAAAGAACAACTTGATACAACAGAAATGCAAAGGGTCATAAGGGAGGTCTGAGAAATTACACAGCAACAAACTGGACAGCTGAGAAAAAAATGAATAAATTCCTAAAAATCTACAATCTTCCTGACTGAATTAGGAAGAAATAGGAAATCTAAATAGGTCAATCACTCATCAAAAACCTACCTCAAGGGCAACCTTGGTAGCTCAGGGGTTAAGTCTCAGCACTATCATTGCCATGGCCTGAGTTCAATCCCCGGCCAGGGAGGTGACCCACATGGCGCAGCAGACTGCTCCTGTTGCCCCCACTGCTCCCCTCAGCAGTGTACTCTGTCAATCTGCCTGTTCTGCTCCCCACTCTGTCTCTGGTGAATCCTCTCATCGCCCCTGCACCTCTGGCCTGTACCCCAGTTCTGCATGCACAAATAAATCAATCTTTACAAAAAAAAAAAAAAAAACTAATAAGCAAAAGCAAGTCAGGTAACATTAATTGGTTGCCTTTCTATACACCAATGGTCAACTACCAGAAAGAGCAATTAAGGAAACAATCCCATTCACAATTGCATCAAAAAAGAATACACTTACCATGGATGAGAAAGGCCCCTGCAACAAAAACCGTAAGACACTGACATAAGAAATGGAAGATGACAGCAGTGAGTGGGAAGATACTCCGTGCTCATGGTCGGAACCCTCTCTCCTCCCTTGCTCCTTCTCCACCTCACTGCTCCCCTTCCTGGAACTCTCCACTGGGGGTGAGGTGGGGGTTGAGTCTGTCACGCGTGGGTTAGAGGAGGACCTCTAACTCTGCTCAGAACTGCCACTGGCTCCCACCCACCTCACTCAGAGGAGCCTGACTTTCTGTGCTGACCCAGGGTCCTGCCCAGGACCCAGCCCTCCCTCGGCCACCAGCCCAGTGGCACGGCAGGTTTTCTCCCTGGTTCTCCCTCCCCTCAAGAAAGGTTCCTCCGGGGGCCTTGAGTCTTGGTCCCTTACACCCAGGGCTTTGCCCCCCTTTTGGAAGCTTCCCTGGGCCACCAAGTCGACCTGCGAGCTTCCCCTAGCCCCCCCTCTCCACATGAGCATGCAGGGCTGGGCCGCTGTCTACGTGTGTGTTAACTGTCACCTTGTCAGCACCCTTGGGGCACCACCCTTGGGTCCAGGACATTTGTCTATTTTATGCTCTTGATCTTCGCTATGTCCCAGTGCTGAGACTATGTTCTGGCCTCTGGCCCTTGATCTGCAGCACTCAGGAGGGGAGGGAGAGCAGGGAGTAGAGAAAGGGGGAGGAGAGTGTGGTGGACAGTGGGCACTCTGGTGAGGGGAAAAGTGTGGTGGCCACATCTGAGGGGAGAAGTCCTATACTGTGAAAAAATAAACAAGGATGTTTATAACATAAAATACACTTAAAAATAAAATGCCCTGGCCTGAAGCCAGTGCTCAACCCCGTGTGCTGACTCTGTCTAACCCGAGTGCATGGGAGGGCAGGGCAAACCCCACGGACACGTAAAACATGTCAGACGATCAAAATTTGGGGGCGTGGCTCCCAGAATCTTCTAAATGACCTTGGCATCAGGCTCCCTCTTAGGCCAAAACTCCCAGATGAAGTAAACAATGAAACTGTCAAGTCCAAGTTTAGGTTCAGAAAAGAAACACACTGACTTGGAGGGTGACACTGCCCCCCTGGAGGGCCTGCTTTAAATGGCAGGAGCTCATGAGGGGGCACAGGCCAGAGGTGGCTCAGGCACCCTCAGGCCTGTGTTGGACTACGGCCCTGAGCCACATCAGAGTCCAGGGACAGCGTGGGAATCACGTCTTCCTGGGGCACAGGCAAAGGATGGGGTGCTGAGTAGAGAAAGCTGAGGGGCCCGACACCCATATTTAAACCTTGTGAGCTGGTCCTGTATAAGAGGAAAGAGGCAAGGAAGAAAGAAACCGTGGCAGCTGGGGTTGAGTTCAGAGCAGGAGAAATGAGTAGGGAGTGGACAAGGGGAGACCCATGAAAGAACTGTGAGTGGGAGCTGAGAGCAGCGAGGGGAGCAGGGCCCCCACTCCAGGCCGCAGCTGCCAGCCTCACCATCTCACGTGCACTAGGGGCTGCTTTGCGGGGCTGTGGCACCCAGGGAGCCAGCACTCCATCCATGCTCTGGGCCAGTGGAGGGAGGGCTGGAGGGCCCCAGTCCAGGTGAGCAGCTGTGGGGCTGACCCTGGCCTGGGGCCCTGTGGGCTCATCCGGGAGGAGCGGAGGGGCCGCTGCCGAGAGAGGAAAACACCGACGAGGACGACAGACACAGGAAGTCACGACTTTATTACTCTTAGGAAACCCGAACATCGGCCTGACACAGACTTGGGGGGTGCTCTGGACACAAACACTGTATATTTGCTCACATAGGTTGCTCTGCAAAATGAGGGACAAGTCACATCCTGCCCACAAATGAATGTATATTCCAAACAGCAGGACTGACCTCTGGTCCTCCTCAGCGACAAAGCTCCCAGAGCCCTGCAGATGGCCGAGGCAGCCACTGCCCTGCCGGCCCAGCCTCCGGCCAAGCCCCAGACACGGGAGCGGGGTCCCCACCCACCAGCCTCTGTGGGCCCAGAGTTCCAAAGGCAGAGGACGCTCGAGTTCTCTGGTGAATTCGGGACACACAGAGTTTTGGCCGGAGTAGCCAGGGGCCAACCTGGGGTTGGCTGCCGAGGTTGAGCCTCGGGCTCACTCTTTTCTGGCTTTTCCACGTGCTGGCGATGGGGTGGCGACTGAGCATAGGGCAGGGGACGCCCTGGCAGGGAAACTCCCAGCTGGTCCTCAGAGTGGACGCTGTACCTCAGGCCACTGAAAGGTGCTTGTTTGAGGGAGTCGGGGACTTGAGACCCTGGGGAGCACTGCCTGGTCAGTCCTCAGTTGCCTGAGACCAGCAGCTGTGCTCCCCAACCCCCCGCCGTCCCGGGCCTGCCCCCCCCCCATTGATGCTCTGCCCACCATCTGGGAACTCTGATGGGGGCCAGCAGACCCCATCACTGGGGACAGCTCTTGGAAGGGACATGCTGTAGAAGCTGAACTGGAGGATGTGCATGGAGGGGAACCCAGGCACCTCGGGTGGAACCAGCCTGCCCCTGTACCCAGGCCGCTGAGGGTGCATGGTGGCTGCAACAGGCCAGTCCGGCCCACCCCCTCACTCACTGTCCTGGGGCCCAGGGGGCCCCCATGGCAGGAATGTTGTCTGGTGAGATGGATTCTAACAGCCACACCACTGATCCTGGGCCCAGGGCCAGGCCCCGGCCACTAGATGGACCAGAGGCCTGTCTGTGGCTCTCGGCTCCACAGATGGCATCGCTCCGCTGCCTTAGCTACGGTGACAGCGGGAAACCGAGTGGGACAGGTGTGTGGTCCCTGCGGCCTCTCCTCCCACCTCTTACTCCACCTCCTCTTGCCCCTCCCCTTTCGGGCTCAGAGCTATAAATACTCAGATGCAAATGGTAAATTTGTGAGACGTTTATCATAAATTGCAGGTGGATGATTGTGAGTCTTTAGGCCATGAGGCCTCTGGGGGAATCTTTTATTCTTTAAAAAAAAAAAAGCAGCAGCAGCAGAAACTAATGGGTGAGATGGAAGGTGGGGGGGGCCCTTCAGTCTGGCTTCTGTCTGGGAGATGCCAGGGGATGGCACCACCCTCAGCCTCCTGAGTCAGTCCCGGGGCAGCGAGTGACCAGCCGAGGGGGAATGACTCAGCCAGACAGACCTCCCCGGGCCCTCTGCTAGGCTGGAACATACTCTGTGAACACTATTACTTTGTCACTTTTAAATAAGTAATTTGAAAGGGGGTAGAACAGTGATGACAGTGCCTGTCTGCGCGTGCAGTGGATGTGTGAGCTCTTCCGTGCACTGCTCCCACCCTGCCCTCATGTGGCAGACAGCACACTTGCCAGCAAAGTCCTGCCTGAAGGGATGTGGTGGGGGTGGGGCGAGGTGGCCACCCCAGACGCTCCTGGGCTGCCTGGGCGCGCCACCCCCAGGCCAGTCCGACTGAGGTCAGTTGAGCCACCACAGCCTCTCTCCTCTGCCACCTCAGGCTGCCTGGCCCGCCCCCCAAACCCAGTCGCCCCCTTCCCCCCATGCCCTGGGGCCTGTGAGTCAGGTGTGAGGGGTCAGCTTGGCGGAGGAGGGGCGGGGTCCGCACCGGCTCTAAGCTACTCTCTTCCCTCTTGCGGAAACTGGAAAAAGCACCGCAAACAGCGGGCACCCGGACAACTTCTAATTTAACATTATAATAATAAACACCAGGGTGGTCCAGAGCCATGAGCTGCATTTTAAATTCCTGGGGCCACGAGCGGGAGGCGCTGCGTTCCTGCCAGAGGCCCTGGCAGGACTAAGGGGGTGAGGGGGGGTGGACGGGTGGCTGCGCCCAGATGGGGTGTGCCCGAGCGCGCGCCAGGCCTGCCCCGCACCCAGGGGCGCCCGCCACCCACGCGGAAGGCAGGGTTAAAATGGCCACACCGCAAGCAAACACTAATGAGGATAAACTCCGGAAAGACGCGCGATTTAGTTGTTTCCTCCTCGACACCTCCTTTGTCCAAGGGGAAGCTCTTCACCCACAGGCGCCTTGTTTATTACCAAGCGGCCTCGCCGCACAGGGGACCCGGCTTTTCAGCGCAGATTGTACCTTCCTTCCCTCCATGGCTCCAGAGAGGATAAGTGATTACAATTTTGTTATCTTCTAAATTAAAAAAAAAAAGGCAGAGTTGACTCTGTTGGAGCTGTGTGCACAGCAGTTTGACAACTGTGGCGACAGCATAACTACTGAGCAATTTTTTGCACAATTCAGAAACTCATCTTTTTTTTTTTTTTTGCCAAGGAATCGGTCTAACAAACACATCCCACTCTTGCTGAAAATAATTCCTTTTCCCAACTCTTCGAGGAATAAAACACTTTTAATGTATTTGTCAGGAATCGACACTTCGTTTAATTTGATTAAAAAAAAGTGACACATTTCAAGAGCAGCTGAGAAGAGCCCCTTATCTACCATGGAGGTACCCTGGGCTCAAGGGATATGGGCTCGAGGTACCAACTAAAAATGTGGGAGACAAGTACATGTGTGGTAGCTGTGGGCCTGTGTGTGGCACACCAGTGCACCTGCTTCAGGTGCAAAGTGCCCACAGCAACCCTGCCTCCCCACTGGGCACGCTCGCCCCCACCTGCTCAGTGTACCCCCAGGCTGCCAGAAAGCGACCTGGAAGGCTTTCCCCTAAAGCCCCGAGGAGTTTGCTCTTTTACTCTCTCAAACAAACCTGATCTAAAATGAAGGGCTCTTGGCCTGGGTGGTGGCTAGGAACATGGCCCACAATTAAAACCCACAAGTACTATAGTGAAGGGCCAGAGGCCACAAGCACCTCTCTGTCCATCTCTGGTGACGTCTCCTTATTGACCAGTCCTCAAACCCGATACCCTGGGTTGAGTTTTCAGAGGGGCGGGGGAACTGGAGGCCCACATCTGCCTCTGCCCCTGTACCCCCATAGATAGGCCAAGGCTCCTGTTCTGCATGCCAGTGAAAGTGACCCTCTCCACCGTCTGCCAGCTGAGGCCTGCAAAGGCATCTGGGGACCCTTTCACTGCCTCCGGGTTGTATCCTCCGCAATCCATTTAGCTCCACTGGTGTCCAAGCTTTTGGCCTTTCTGTGCCAGCTGCCCCAGGGGAGAAGTCCCTGGCAGGCCCCACCAGGGCTCTGGAGAACGCCAGGCTGCCTGGGGCTTTTCCTAGGCTGCCCACTCATCCTCCTCCTTCCCTGGAGATCACAACTCAAGGGGGTTGTGTCTGGAGTGATGTACCCGACAGGCGCACATCACAGACCAGGCATATATCACGGCCCCTCCACAGACCCGGCCGGCTCCCCAGATCAGAAGGCCGATCGACAAGGTAGAGCCCCTGACCTGGTACCCAGGAGGCAGAACGGACAGACGCTGCAGCTGCAACCCCGTCTGCCGGGCCCACAGGCACTTCCACGCAGGCAAGGCCTCCGGACAGGACAACTGGGGGCTGCAGAGGCTGGGGCGGGCGGTGGGGGGCGAGCCACCCTCAGCCCTCACTGCTGAGTGTGCTGTTGGCCCTGACCCATCCGCCCCTCCCCCTTCACTGATAATAAGGAGCACCCGAAGTGCTAGAGGAAAAGGGGTGTAAACACCAAAAGCAATTCAGGGGCGGAAGGAGAATACAGATGCAGGCAACCAGGCCGCTTGCTTGTGCCTCATCAGGTGAGTGAAGCCGCCAAACCAGGGTTGGGCCAGCTCCTCCAGGTGCTTTGCCGGCTCACCTGCATTTCCCCAGGTCAGCCGAGCAACCTGGACGGGGGAGTTTAGTGTTTGGAAAGAAGCCCTCGAATGCAAGGAACTTTCAGAACACTGCGCCGCACCCTTGCTCCGACTCAGCTGGCCGGCCTGTGCCCCTGGACAGGAGGGGACCGCTGAGGGAAGTGCTGAGTGGGTGGGAATTCTCCTACTAATTGGCGCCTGGGGCAGGGTGCTGACCAGGTGGCCACCCACCTGCATGGGCTGCCCTGCCATTTGTTACAGGAGCCTTGCTCCCTCAGGAAATGTCAGCACTCCTCAGGGGTTCCTCTCACCCCACACAAGAGCAGACAGCCGAGCAGGTACAGAGACTGCTCCTTCCAGAAGTGGGTTCCGACAGAGGGACAATCTTCCCCGTAGATCCTGTAGCTTGACGCTGCTCTGCCATCCCAATACTGACGAACCACTCAAGGCTGAGCTAAACTAGAATGCAGTTATTGATCCACTTGTTCCTCCAACACCCACAACCAATGTCTGCGAGACACCAGAAAGGAGCTCCCTAGAAAGCCAAGCCTGAAGCCAGACGGGGGCAGAAGGCCCACCATGCCGCCTGGCCGGGCCCAGCCTGCAACAGCAGCCCTGGGAGAACTCTGGAGAGAAGCGAATCCAGACAATCATCTGATCCAGTCACAACGCTGCCGAGCACTGGAGTGGAAATGACTGCGCAAGAGGCTCCACCGAGCCAAATGGAGCTACAGCAGTTGGATGCGAGCTCTGATGAGGATTAGCAGAAAAGCTCCCGAAACCGCCTTTTCCCAGTCCCACTGTGAAGCGTGGTCCGGGGGAAATGCGACCCCACAGTGCTGCCGACCCCGCCATGTCTGGCGCCCAGCGCCCCCTGCAGCGCCCCAGACACCCCGCAACCCAGCAGCGGGGAGGACCCCACTCGTCCATTTCCGTGTCGGCCTCCCAAGCTCAAAGACCGGGGACGCTTCAGGAATGACAGCTTAATAACCCAGCGACTCGCGAGATTAGCAACTTCAGTGTCCGCGGGTTGATCTGCTCGTTGTTCATCTGCCTGAACTTCCTGGAGCAGCTTCCCGGGCAGCCGGGTGCAGGGCGGCTGCATCTGCGCCTGCATCTGCGCCTCATTCGCGCCATTTCCCCCGCGAACCCCGAGCTTCACCGTCAAAGCCCGGGAAGGAAAATTACTGCGTCTAAAGGGATTAAAACAAGTGATTTGCTGTTCGAGCATTTCAAAAAGCTTGGGAACACCTATGAGTCAGCAAATGGAGAATAACTAAAGAAATAAAAAATCATTTAGTTGCCAGGGCAATGTGCTCCGCGGAAGTAAACACTCTACAGAACCCATTTCCTAAAGGGAGCCTCAGGTAATGAAGCCCTAATGTATTCTCTCCTTCCAGTGTTCATAAGCCAGTTTTGTATTCCGACACGGGCCTGTCTATTACTTCCTTCTGTTCCCGTAGCCTGGCTGAGATTAGAGAGGTAGGGTGTTAATGGTGGGCTTGATGAAGATTGAAGACCCATTTTCTCCCCTAGAGACCAGCATGATTTGAACAAATTGAGGAGAACAGAGCAGCCCCTTTCTGTCCTTGGGAGAAAACCTGTGCTGTGTCCATATTTTGCGCCGGGTCTGCTCCTCCCTGGAAGTGGGGGAAGGGCAGTCAGTTCCCAGCTGGGGGGGTGGGGGGGGAGGACCCCGATCTGGCCGCCTCCTGGGCCCACCCGCGTCACCGCACCTTGGCGTCCTTTATTGGTGCTGCCGGTTGGGGGAGCGGGAGCGGGAGGCGGGGCCTGGGCTGGGGGGCAGGGAGCTTCCGCTGGGGGTCTGCAGCGCGTGGGGCTCGAACTGCTGACTCGCCGGACTCGGGTCCCCGGTCCCCACTTCCTCGGCGTTTTCCTCCTTCTGGCTGCTCTGCTGCTCCGGACACTCGAAGTGCACGCAGTGGAACACCTGGTGAGAGAGGAAGTTCCCGTGAGCCACGGAGCAGCGCCCACCAGCCACGCGTCCCGCCCACCGCGGGGCTGCCACAGGGAATGGGAGGAGGTGGGAGGCTGGGGGGCCAGCTGATGGCAGCCAGAGGTCTGTAAACACGGTTCCCCTGTGAGGACAAAGGGCAGTGGCTGAGCCTCTGAGAGTCACAGTGGCACCACTCAGCTTCCTGCGAAATGCCCTGCTGGGTCCCTCCATTTTCGGTCACCTTTGTCTCATGGGCTTTTTTTTCTTTTTTGATTCGATTCCAGGTGTTTGGCAGTGGGGTTAAAGGTCAACAGGAGCTGTGGTGAGGGATGCACAACTCGGAATGTACTAAAAACCACTGACTTGTTGATTGTTTTTAAAGATTTATGCACACAGAACTGGGGTGTAGGCCAGAGGTGTGTGTGTGTGTGTGTGTGTGTGAGAGAGAGAGAGAGAGAGACAGAGAGAGAGGAGTCACCAGAGACAGAGCAGGGAGCAGAACAGGCAGATAGATGAAGTACACTGCTGAGGGGAGCAGCGGGCGGGCCAGGAGAGGTCTGCCGCGCCATGTGGGTCAGCTCCTTCACGTGTGGGTCACTTCCAGGGCTGGGGGTGGAACTTGCACTGAAGTGGCTGTGGCCAGCTTGCAGTGCTGCGCTTTAACCCGTTGTGCCACCAGGCAGGGCTGTGACTTGTTTACTTTAAATGGATGAATTGCATGGTGTGTGAATTCTATGTCCAGAGAATTGGTATAAAACAAAAATCAGGGGGTCATTCCCCAGGGGAGGACCCAGACCTATCTCCATGGGCCATAAGCAGCCCCCCTCAGGCTCTGCTGTGGCCTCAGGAAGGGGACAAGCTCCTGCTGCCGGCTGTGTAGCAGTGCTGCGGGCTGGAGCTCAAGCTGCCAGGGCGAGGGCTGGCCTGGAGCAAATGCCTTACGCCGGAGGGCGGCCACCCCCAGGAAAAGCTGCCACTGGCCAGGGAATCACTCGGGACCATCCCTGAGCTCTGGGCACAGCAAGGGTGTGTCCTGGCCCTGACCAGCCCGACACACGGTACTAAACAGCCATCACTGGTGCGCTAGAGCTGGGGACAGGGCAATGGGTGGGCGGGGAGCTCCAGCGCACCCTGGGAAATTTTCTCCCATCACCTGACTGCTAAGCCCTTTGGCTTCTGGTTCTCTGCAGCCTCAGCTCTCTGAAGGGGAGGAATCTGCAGTGGTGGTCGCCAGACCGGGAGCCGCGGAGCATGCTGGCAGTTTTAAGGGAATCAATTTCCAGATCCTCAAATTCTGTATTTTCTCAAACTGCCTGAGAACGTGACTGAATTCACAACGCCCTTCCCCATGCACAGAGGTGCGGCCCCCCGCCCTGCCGCACTGGCTGCAGGTTTTCACTGGGGCACAGAGACCGCCTTGCGAGGGGAGACAAACCCTTCCAGGGTCACCGGCCCTGCCGCCTCCCGGCCCCTGAGTGGGGTGTTCTGAATTTTGAACTGAAGTGTGTTCATGACACATGCAATTTTTAAAAGTGTAAATGGGACTTTTCCAGAATTAAAAAAAAAAAAATCAAGATACAAAGGCTAAAACCCCAAGGCAAAAGTTTCCCAATTACTTTCGAATTTGGTTGCTTTATTCAATGAGTTGGTTAAAATCAATTTTTATAAAATCATGTCATTAAATATTTACTGTAACAGCCTCGTGTGTCCAATGAGAAGATCTGAGCCCCAGAGTAGTGGGGAGGGGGCTGGGACGTGGAGGAGGGATGAGTGGAGCCTGGGGGTTGGACACTGCATGATGTCCTTGTGCCGTAAGTACTGACGGGGCTCTGGGATGGGCCAGGGATGGGCCTAGGCAGCAGACCCAACAGCAAAGCTCCTGGCCACGGCGGTGTGCGCACAGGTACCATGCTTCCCGATTTCGGGGAAGGCCCATCTGGCAGAGAGGGGCAGGAGGTTTGGAGCCGGAGGTCAGTGCAGGGAGGGCCATGAGTTTGGGGCAAAGGCCCTTGCTACTGATGTGAGGGACCTTGAACAGAAGATTGCAGAGGTCCTGAGGATGAACTCTGGTATGTGAGGTATTTAAAGAGAAGAATATTCCTTGATTACTTATTAGTGGGACCTGGCTGCAATGGCTATTCTGCAGGGGACTGAGGCTGAGGGTGGGAGAAGGGAGCAGATGGAGGCCCCAGCTGGAATGGGCTTCAGGGGCGGGTTCTAGTTCCTGAAAGGCCTGATGGTGGAAGAGTCTCACACTGGTTTGCTGGGCAGTGATGTGACAGGGGCTCAGGTGGGGCAGTCCACGGCCACCAGTGACAGGGCTGGGGACCAGGGCGACCTGGATAAATGCTGACAGGGTCTGGGCTCCCTAACTGCACTGCCTTATCCCAAGGCTTTCTCTGCGGTGCCTCCACGCTTCTCTGCAATAACACAGGGCCTTAGACTTTGTAATGCTGTCTCTGAACTTGAGTGCAGACGCCGAGACTCAACCGTGCACGCATGACAGCGTGCAGTGAGAGCTTGGGAAGAACAAATGGGAGCCTGGGCTGAAGTGGACAGCCAGGAGTGGCAGAGCATATGCCACAGGGCCATGGCCACACTGAACCCACAGAGATGGACAAACAACAGGCCCTTGGTGCGCCCAGGGGAAATGCACCCTGTGCTCCCTGCGGTAGGGGTCCAGCCTTTCCTTGCAAGGGGCTTGCTGGCTGGGGAGGGACTAATGAGCTTTGCGCGTGCCCATGCTCTGGCACCCCACCCCTGGGTAAAGGCCGTCGTAGCCTGTAAGAGCGCCGGGGGTGGCAGGATGCAGGCAGGACTCCTGGACACCTGCCACACTCCCTTAGGGAGGACTGGACATTGGGGACTCAGGAAGTGCAGCTGCAGCAGGGAGACGAAGGGATCAGAGGGTGCCTGCTCTCTCCTGGGAGCTTTGTGGTCTTCACAGTGTGGGTAACCCCCCCCCCCCATGTATAAGTGTGGGCACGCACACACATGCACTGTGCACACAACCCCTTCTCCTGGAAAATTAAGTTCTCAGAGGAGGCAAATGTACACTCTGTGCCTTCCTTCCCGCGTCACTGTTATTTCCATATTTCCACTCCAACTCACTGGTTTACCACTGTTTCAAATTTCACACCCCCTCTCATAGAAAGCCCGAGACCATGCTTTTCTGGCCTTGTCATTTCGGCAGACACAGCTCTCGGGAGCCCTCTCTCCTCCAAGCCAGGGACTGGTGCTTTCCCCACGGCCTCCCTGCGCCCGGCTGCAGCTGCCCCCGGCCAGCCTTTCCCCCTCCCTCCTGGCAGACAGCCCAGCTCCTCTTTGGGCCCATCTGTAGGTACTTGCCCATCAGTGGTTGACATGGGAGGGTGTTTTGTGAAGATTTTCAAACTATTCCAGCCTGAGGTCCACCAGATAAATCTGAAACTCTTCTCAGTGGCAAATATTAATTTACTCTTCTCCGTAAGTCTCATATTCCTTAAGCTTCTGAGGTGACAGGACCCTCTCCGGCAGGTTATCGCTTTAGTCTTGTGGCTTTACAAGTGCCCGCTTTCCAGGCAGGGGCGGGAGCTCTTGGCTGAGGTCAGGGTGGGCCAGGCAGACAGGCTCTTTGGCTAAGCGACCAGGGCAATGCCCACAGAGCGCACCTCCTGCCGCCTCTCACCCACGCCTCTCCCTGAAAGCCCAGTAAGCCTGAGTCCTGCTCGCCTGACCCAGAGTCAGACCAGTCCCCACACCAGGACCCCACCCTCTCTGGAGGGCTGTGCTGAACGCACTGCCTCACTGCACCTCCCCGTCCTGACCGGGAGCTCTCATCTGGCCCCTCAGCATCTCCCACTCCGCGGGCCTGTTCCCTGTCAGCATCTTGGGAGGCTACTTCCCAGAGCTTCAGAATGATACTAATCCCTTAATCGACTTACATTTGTCCTGTCTCTCCTATTGCTCTTGCGAGTGTTTCTTCAGCCTCTTAACTTTCAGATAAGCTCTTTCCCCAGAGGCCTTGACAGACTTCAGGGTGCCATCCCCCACCACCCCATGCCCACCCCCTTGATTCTGCCTGTGAGCTGACTGTCAGTGCCCATCTGTCTCAGGACCACAGTGCGATCATCCTGTCTCCACTCAGGGCCTGGCTCAAGAATAAACAAGTCAATAAAGACCTAGGACTCAAAAACAAAGTTACAAAGGTGCTCTCCTTGGACAGGGCTAACACCTGGCTCTTTAGCATAAGCCTTTCCCTTAAGAAAGGATCCAATAAGCAACCCTCTGCTGGGGCAGGGTTGTGTGGGTAAGAAGCCTGGGAAAGCCGTTGACAGCGCACACTTTGAAATGGTCTCTGGCCTATTCCCACTTCCACCTTGAGCTGCCCTCTCCTCTAATTTAGGTGATGTTAGCTGCCCACCACCGTTAGCCCGTTTTACCAGCCTGCTTAAAACAATGGGATGCTGGGATGGCCAGCTCGCCTGGCCTGGCTGCACGTGTTCTACAGCTACTCCTTCACCAGACTGTTGCGGCCCCTTCCCCACCAACAGCACAGAGCTCGTGTCAGATTCTTCCACCCCGGGAAGAGGAACTGCTGTGATGTCTCCTCATCCCGGGGTGGGCGCACGGGGCGGGCCAGGGAGCTGCGACTGACGACTGACCGCACAGGGGGAATGGGGCCACTTCAGAGCCCTGCCAGGCCCAGAGCTGTGAGCGCTCTAAGCCGCTCAGAGAACCTGTCAGTCTCTGCAGGATTCAAAGGAAATGGAACCAGTTACTTCTTACCAAGTCACAGAATGTGTGGGGAGGGTTCTGAGTGAAATGTTAAGACCATTGAGGCTTAGACTCAGTGAAGAGGTAGAGTGTGCAGGGTTGCCTCAGAGAGCAGGCCCAGGGTGGGCGAAGTCGGGGAAAAGGACGGGGTGCCCTGTGGCAGGCACAGAGTGGCCGAGGGGCTGAGGACTGCAGGCTGAATGAAGGTGGTAGGGCTCAGCTGTTAGGGGTGCCTTCATTCACGCCTGCATGTCCACCTGGGGGGCCCTAGCCCCTCAGAGAATGGCACACATTAGCAGAGAGGCCACGTGCTAGGGGCAGTCAGGAAGCCATGGGGGGGGGATCCTGCCAGCGTGGGGGAATCAGGAAATGCTACCTGGGGAGAGAGACAACTCAGCTGAGTGGAGAAGAATGAGGCAGCAAGTTGGAGAGCTCAAAGCCAGCCTTAGTGCAGCAGACAAGGAAGGAGGTGCAGTGTTAGTGAGGTAACATTGGCTTATGACACTGTACATGATTTAGTGAGGGAGACACGCACCTCTTCATATGTATGTCACCTCACCACACTCACCACCAAAGCACCCACAGCCCTTCACCCTGGACACTTGATAAGTTTGGTAAGTTTGGTAAGACTGACTCTGGAGAGGAAGGAGTGTGCAGTGACTCTGAGGATTTTTTGGGAGCACAGAGACTGGGGAGTTGCACAGCATAGAAGCTGGGGGCAGCAGGGTTTCCAGGGGGCTTTAGGTCTAGCCTACTGCCCTCTCCCACCCCAGGACCTATCCTTTAAAAAAAAAAAAAAACTTCACAGACCTCACAGAGCGCAAGCATTGACCAGGTCACTACCACAAATTCCCTGAAGGGATGGTGGGACTTGGGGGGTTGGGGGGGCGGGGTAAGGTGCCCCTGTCTCATGTGTATGCTTACTTTTCTGCAAAAAGAAGACATCCCCAGGTCACACCTGTGCAGGTGGTATTCTAACTCCGGGCCAACCATTTTCAAAGCCTGGATTCTTTTTTTTTTTTTTTAAATCAGGATGCCTGACTTGTATAAACATTAAGAGCATGGATCAGAAATAGGAGAGATATATAAGAACTAAATTTGGCCGGCAAGTGGGCAGGCCAGTGGGAAGGTGTGCATCACAGGCCTTGAAGAGCTCAGATGCAGGCAGGTGGGGCGCGGCCATCAGCACAGAGGCCGTCGATCAAGGCCTGGGCGCTGGCGCCTGCCCCACTCCTGGCAGCCTGCCCCTACTCACTCTGGCCTTGGGACAAGAGGTTCCACCCTCCTCTGCAGTGCGCAGGCTCCATCATCTTGGAGCCTTGACCCTAACGCTGCAACAGCACAAACCCAACACGCAGCCACTTCCTGGGCCATTGTGGACTCGGAAGCAACACCACGGTGTGCGCACCTCTCCATGGCTGGGGTTCCTTCCCTCAGGATCTGGGCACCTTGGATCTGCACCCAGTGCGGATGGGCATCCAGAGTGGGGCCAATGGGTACGCTCTGTTCGCAGGAGTGGGAGAGGACGTGAGCTGTCCTGGGGAAACTGGCTCCGTCATTGGCGGCCATTCTGGGAAGAGAGGCTTCCATGCCTCTGCTCTTTCCAAAAGCAAACTGGAGGAGGTCCCCAGGGGCGAGAAGGCATCTTCACTAGGGGGTAGGGGGATTGGAGTTTGGGGGGATTAGTGTTTGGGGGAGCAGGGGTGCCACCATACCCCCAAACTCTTGACTGCTGTGCTCTCTGCGTTTCCCTCTAAGTGAACAGCTAGGTTCTGAGTTTCTCTTCACTCAGAAGCACATGCGATTCAATT